AACTTCCCAGCCCCTTCCTCCCACCACCCCCGCCCCCAGACTCACGCAGCTGCACAGACACCGGGGCACTGGCCTCGCCAACGCCAGCGCTGGTGGCCGCTGCGACCAGGGTCCGGTAGGGGAGACCTGGCAGCAGCCCCTGGAGCACCGCAGAGCGCGCCCAACCTGCCGCAGACCGATTGAGGTGGAAACGGCTCTCATTCCCCAGGCACCAGATCTGGGGAGGCAGAGACCCAGGTTTAGAGTCAGAAATGGGATTCTGGCCCCACGTGGAAACCTGACGCTCTAGGAGGCCCAGCGGCTTAGCCGGGCTTAATTCAGCCCGGAGACCACACTCTGAAGCCTCTCTCCTCTCCCAGAACCTGCTCCGCCGCCCCGAAGCCAGTCCTGGATCCCTGCCTAATCCTAGCCCTGGGTCCTCCCCCTCCCACCCAGGCCCTTCCCCACCCGGTACCTGGTATTCCTTGATGACCCCATTTTGCTGGGGGGGGAGTGGAGGTTCCCAGGACACGGTGATACTGCTGTTGCCTTCACCCCCCAAGGCTACTGCCACTCTCTGAGGGGGACCACTGGGGGCTGGCCAGGGTGGAACGTGAGGACACAGTCATTGCAAGCTGCCCCTCAGGCCCCCCCTCCCCCTCCCTGCTCTAACATCTTAGGGAACTAAGGCTTCCCACCTGCTTGCCTTGCTCCCCACTGCAAACTTTCACCCTCCCCCACTCCCACTTGTACATCCAGCAGCTCCCTGCCCTGCCCCTTACCCTCCTCAGGAATGCTCCCCGTCACCAAGAGACTGTCAGCACCCAGCCCCTCCTGGCCTTGGGCTTGCACCTTGATCTGAATTTGGGTCCCTGGGGGGAGTCCTCTTAGCACAGTACTGTACTGGCTTGGGGACTGTAGGTCCTGCACAGTCCAGCTTCCCCCATCAGAACCTGCTACTCTCCAATACACCTGGAAACCTCGCACCAGCTCGACTGGGCCATCTACCTATAGGAGACAAGAGGGAACACACCAGAAGGAGATGGGAGATGCTAGGGCCACGCAAGTCCTCCAGGCCCAGCCCCTCTTCCATTCACCCTGCCTTCTCCGGCCACTCACTTCCCACTCTCCCATACCCACTCTTGGAGGCCCCTATGCCTCCCATCATCACCTCTGCCCTTCACCTCACCCCTATGCCACACTCACAGTCCAGGACACCTGCAGGGTCCGGGGCCCAAGGACTACAGGCTCCTGCACACGCACAGCCACTCCAGCCAGTCCCGGCTGGCCTCTCCACGGGTCCTCCGCTGGCCTGGATGGGTTGCTGTCTAAAGAGCCCACTCAGCAGGGGCCGGCAGGGACAGGGAGTCAGGACTGAGACTGTGCTGTGTCCTGCCCCTGCCCGCCCCCAGTCTAATACTCAGTGCTCCAGAGCACACCCCAGGGTCAAGGGGCTGGGGGTGGAGGGAGTTCCAAAGGTGGGCCTTCTAGTCTTGATAATCTACATACACTGAGTACTTAGATTATCAGAAATGAGGAGCCACCAAGGTGACTGAGTCCTCCCACACCCCTGCCCCCACCTCTCTCTCTCCCCTTCTGCTTCTTCCCCCTCCTTGCCCTCCCCCTCCCTCTCCTCCTCCTCTTGTTCCCTCAATAAGAGGGAAGCACGACCTCCTGTTTCAGACCAGCCACCAGTATAGACCTGGCACCGCAGGGAAGAGCTGCCATGGGGCCGTGGTTTTGGAGAAGGGTGCTATGCAGTGTTACATGTCATACCCATGAGACAGGGACCCTGCCCTTACCCTGGGTGCGGACAGGCTCAGAGACGGGGCTGGGCTCACTGAGGCCCCAGGCTCCCACCGCTCGCACCAGGAACAGGTAGATGGTGTTGGGCTGCAGACCGCTGACCGTGTGTGTCTCCAGCTGCACACCGTCTGCCACTGTCCGCCACGTGTTGCCAGCTGCTTGGCTGCAACAGGAATGAGGTGACAGAGCTGTCTGAGCCAGGGACCCCCCACCTGTCTACTCCCTCTCACCCATTCTCTCTGGCCCCCTACTGCCTCCCCACCCTGGGAAAGGGAACTGGCAAACCCCTCCCCACAATAGCAACGACCCTAAGGGCATAGGATCCCCTCCTTTTAACTGTGCAGGTTTGCACTCAGAGCTTTCTCTGTACCTGAAAGCCTCTATCAAATAAGAGGTAACTGCAGCCCCAGCCTGCGGGTTGGGCTTCCAGGTCAGGGTGACGCTGTTCTTGGTGATCTCAGTGACCACTGGCTGAGAGGGAGGCCCTGGAGGGCTGCTGGGTTCTGGAGGCGGGTCTGGTAATTCTCCCCAGTTTCCTGCAGGGAGGAGATAATCTTTAAGTATGTATGTAACCTGCCTCCTTCCCAGAGGGGCTGTGGAGCTGTGACAGTGGAGAGAGGGCCAGAGTGCACCGACCCCTACGAACATCCGCCTCCCAAGCCACCACTTCTGTCTTCCTCCCCCCACTACCATGGCCGTGGCATTGGGGAGATAAAATCAGTCCTGGGGTTTGGCGAGTATTGACTGCCTTTGAAGAATGTTTGGAGAAAGGGCAAAGAAGGGAACAAAGGAAAACTCACCCTGCCCCCTGAGCCAGGCACTCCATATGGCCTCCCCTGTGGAACTCTTGGCCACACAGCTGTAGAGGCCCACGTCCGTCTCCTGCAGGAGAGAGCAGAGGGCTGGCACACTGGGAGTGGAGCAAGGCAGGGTGAGAGGGTGGAGGTGGGTATTCAGAAGGATGGGGAGGGTGTCGCACACTCTGGGTGGTCTGAGAGAGCAGAGGGGTAGAATGGAGTTAGGGTCCCAGAGGGTACTTGCTGGAGTTGGGCATTCTCAGTTCCTTGGGCCCCAGGGTGGGACTCACCTGCACCTTGGCAATGTGCAGGGTGCCATTGGCCATTAGGTTGAGCTGGCGGCCATCCCCCTGCAGTCCCTGCCCGTCCTTTTTCCACTGGACACTCGGTTGAGGGGTCCCGGTTACTCTGCATGGCAGCCACACGGAGGAGCCAAGTGCCAGTGTCTGATTTGCTGGTCCCTGGAGGATGATGGGAGGCAGCCCATCCATCGAGGCTGGGAGAGGAAGAACTTGGGTACCTCAGAGGAGGGGCCCAGGTTCAGGCAACCAGCTCCTGGTCTTCATTCTCGGCCCCTTCCTCTCCTCCTCCCCGGAGATGAAAGGGGTTCCTTAATCAACTGTAGTCTCTGCCCAGAACTAGCCATCTAATAGTGGCTCCTGGGCCTAATTTCCAAACTTCAAGGAAATGTCTCAGGAACATACCCCGTCCCCTTGCAGACACATGGTAGAGAATCCAAGAAAAACAGATCTCCTTAAGCCATTACTTCCTTCCAGGCCATGGGTCCCATATCTCCACAGGCACATACCTCCTTTTACCTTCAACAGGGCCTTGGCCAGGACGCTGCCAGCCACACTGACAGCCTGGCACACATAGTAGCCAGCATCCCCCCTCTGCACTTCAGTGATGTTGAGCTGGCCTCTAGGAGAGACTGAGAAGCGCCCTGTGGGCTGAAGAGACTGACTGGGGAAAAGCAGGACCTGGGGACAGAACAAGGAACCAAGGTAGGAAATGAGCAGGCAGTGGGCAGAGAGAGCTCCCATTCTCAACACCAGAATGCAGGGGTTCCTAAGGTTCTCATTCATACTCTGTCCCCACACAGTTATGTGACCTTGGGTAAACTAGTTAAACCTATTCACAAAAATGAGCTATTTTATTAGATGACTCTGGGATATACTTCCCAGCTCTGTGCAAGCTATTTAAACTTCCTGAGCCCAAATTTCCCCAAATATGACTCTTAGAGGCTAGTTCTGATGATTAAAGGAAGTAATCCTATGAAACTCTTTTAATACATTCGTGATAAATGTTAAATGCATTCCCCTTCTTCCTGGCTCTAACATTTTACATTAGATGCAGACCCAGAAGGTAGTGAAGTAGGTGTGGGTCTCAGGATAGATGGCACCATGCTGAGCCCCTGACGGATGCCTCCTCCCACCTCTACTACAGCAGCATTTTTATTCATTTCAGAAGCTAATGAAAACGCAGCTGACTCCAATGCTAGAGATGTTGGGGAAATAGTGGCTGTGGATTTGGAATGAGGTAATAGGTGGCCTGGTTTCCCAGTGGAGTGGAGTTAATGAGACTTATTTTATTATAATGATCTTGTTTCCTAGTAGCAAAATTCCCACCCTCCCCTTACAGGAAGTTACTTACGTTGTAACTTCAGTTAATGTTCATTCCAGCTGTACATTCTGGGATTTATTTGCTATTGTAGAGGGATGAGCACAGCGCCCCCTGGTGGAGGTCTCTTATAAATAGAAAAGCTAGTGAAGTTCTACCCTCAGCAGCCTTGGTACAGTGCTACTTGCTTTCCAGAGCAATGTATTAAAGCCCAAGCCCCAAAGGTCTGGGGAAAGGACCTAACTAGATTTGCTGCATCCTCAGGACATCCTTGACCCAAAGAGAAAGATTCCAAGGAATTACTATACAGGACCGTTCCCTACCACCTAAATGTGTTATTCATTTTAAAAGTATTGGATATGCTTCAGCCTTTTATATTAATTATCTTATTTAATGCTCCTAAATAACCTGCAGGTGTTCCTGGGAGGACTAAAGGTAAAACAGAACCCTGAGAGCAGTTTGCAGAACATAGAAGGAGGGAGGCTAAGACCCAGAGAAGAAGCTGGTGGGAAGGCCCTTGGAGCTGGCACCTACTTGGCTTCCCTCCTTCTGCCAGAAGATGGCAGGTGGGGGGTTTCCTTTGGTCTCGCATTGAAAAGTCACATTGTCTCCAGTAGTTGCCATCTGGTCCTGGGGCTGGGTCACCAGCTGGGGTGGAACTGGCAAGGGGAGGGGAGATAAAGGAACAGAGAGTCAGGGGTACTAAGAAGGGAGATGGAGGGAACAGGACAGAGAAGTCCGAGCTTGGCTTGAGTAGGAGCAGATATTCATCCATCTCTTGCTCAAGCCTGTTTAGCTGTCTCCTTCTCTCTCTCTCTCTCTCCTACAAGTCCCACGTGACTTCACATCTCTCGCTTGTCCCCTCCCCCCCATCATTTTCTACTCATTTCATTTTCCCTCATTTCACCCCTGCCGCAAGCAGTCCCAGGTGGGGCCTCACCATGAACACTGAGGGAGCCAGACGCTTCCACTCGGCCCACGCTGTTCTCCGCCACGCAGGTGTATGTCCCCTCATCGTCAGCACTCACACGTCCAATCCAAAGGCTGTGGTCACTCCGGATCTCATACCTGCTCCACTCCCCACCCCCGTGCTGGGTTGGCCATAACTACAGACCACTTCTGTCTCCCCCGGGACAGACACCAGGGCAGGGTACATAGGGCAGGGACAGAAGCTCTGTGATTGGAGGTGGGGACTGGATAGGGCAGAGCCACAGGCTCTGGGGAACAGACTTCTCTGAGGCGGTATCAGCCTTCCAGTTTTCTAGGGCAGGGCGCACTCGTGAGCTGGTTGGGTCTCCTCACAGGCCGGAGGAAGGGGATTCTCACCTGCCTGTGAGCAGTTCTCCATCCTGCTTGCGCCAGTGTAGACGAGGTGGGGGATCGCCCTGCACCTCACATGGGAAATGCACAGGGCCGTCGGCCAGGACCACCCGATCCACTGGCCTCTGCAGGAATGAGGGGCGCTCTGTGGAGTGGGCACGAGTGAGCAGTCAGGGGTCTGCAGAGCTGTGTAGTGCCCCGCTGCACGCTCCCATGACCACAGCCGCGCCTACCCAGTACCGCAAGTTCGGCCCCTGCACTCTCCCGTTCTCCTGCCATGTTGGAGGCCACACACACATACATCCCTGCGTCACTCTTGTGTGTGTGTGACATCATCAGCTTCCCTCCACGGATCTGCAGAGTAATAACGGGAACCTCGGTCCTTTATAGCCATCGAAGCATCTTTATTGATTTGATTTTCACAACAAACCCATGAAGAAAACCAGTAAAATCCACCCATTTAGATAAGGAGTTGTCGTTTTGCCCAAGGTGGGGGCTCAGGTCTGTCTCTTCTCCCACGGGTTCCGGGGGGTCATGCTTCCCCCAACCTTATACCAAGTCCATCCTCACGTATCCCTCACTCAACAGCTGACTCTCAGCCTCTAGTCAGCTAATGCCTGATCTCAGATCTCCTGCCTGACGGCCCCAAGCATTATTCCCGCCTTCCAAGACCCTTAGATTCAGGCCTTTCTCCTTGGAGGCACGTGGGAGACCCCTGGCGCAGGGCCGCGCCCCTCGTGGCTGCGGGCACTGGTCCCCATGGAATCCCCAGCCTGGCCCGGCCCTCACCGTGATCCTTCCCTCCTCCTCCTTGACTGGGGCGCTGCCCTTCTTCCAGGACACCGACGGCTCCGGGTGGCCGCGGGGGGGCACGCATTCCATCACAGCTGGCTCCCCCACTGCCACCACCACGTTCCCAGGGGACTGCCGGAAATCATCTCGGAGGACTGGAGTGGGGTGGGGTGGGGGCAGGAGAGAGGAGAGAGGACATGTGAGTACATATATGAATAGGACCGTCTCCCCCGCCACGGGTGAGAAAATACCAGGCCCAGGCGCGGGCCGTAGAGACCAAAGGCAAAGTGGCGTCGGCTGAGATCGGGGCTGGTTCTGGACGGGATTGCCCGGCGCCCTCCCGCGGCC